CCCTGGTTTATAGCTGCAGAACCAAAGGACAAGCTAGATACAGGCCCAGAGCCTCAAAAGGTATTCAGGCACCGGGCCCCCATAGAAATCAGGGTCACATAGGGAGCCTGCAGCGGATCCAGCGAGGAAGCGCGGCTGTCCTAAGTCTTTTTAAAGTCTGGGAGTGAAATCCCAACTCCACTGAAGCCAAAACTCCCATTGATTTTAATGGAACTAGGATTGCACCCCAGTTGGGTCCCCTTCTCTGACCGGGATTCTCATAGCTCCTGAGCAACCCAATGTGCCGGCAGGTCTCACTGAAATGAGGCTCTTCCCAGGCTGCCGTGGGTATTAAAGGCCCCGTTTTGGGGTTCCAGCCACAGACGGAGCAGGGCTTTCTATTCTGCTGCCTGGAGAATGATGATATTATGTCCTCAACATACCCGCAGGGCCTCCATTTGCTATGTCTCAGGCCGCGTCTTCACTACGTGGAAGATCGATGGGGCTCGATTTAGTAGGTCTGGTGAAGACCTGCTAAGTCAAACTCAGAGGGTGCCCCTGTCCGTGATGGTACTCCTGCTCCTTGTGAGGAGTAAGGGAAGCCGATGGGAACATTTGCTCCTGTCAGCCTCCCACTGTGTGGACAGCGCAGAAACTCGTTTTAAGATACATCGACTCCAGCTATATAATTAATGTAGCTGAAGTTGCGTCTCTTCACTTAATCTTCCCCCTGTGGCGTAGACCAGGTCTTAGCTCCCCTCAGGCGTTGGTGGATTTCACCTCCCTGCAGGCAGAGTCTTCAGTGCCGAGTCAGTATTGCCACCTCCTCTGCACTGAGAAGAAACTAGACCTGTAGCGGTGCCCTGTCCAAGCACACAAGGAGTCGGAGCAGGGACGAGGGCTCCTGCATCATACGATGCTGCCTTACTCCAAGCCTCCTTCTTCCCTCTGATGATCTCACAGACTTTTGACAAAGCAAGGGAAAGATTCCTTTCTCCCTCAGCCACTGCGGGCAGGTCACCACCTGGCTCCGTGCCTCGGTTTCCCCATTTGCAAAACAGGGAGAATGACACTGACTCCACCCACATTAAGGATTTAAAGTCCCATTTAAATGGTTAAATATAATGTTTCAATGGATAGCCCGTTAAAAGGGGCGGGGAGGTCGCCATGGCCAGGCCGGAGCGCACCCCACCCCACCCTGGCTGGGTGGGCTGGAGCATCCATGCCTGGGGCGCACCTGGGTTGGTCTGGAGCCAAGGCAGCCTGGCATCTGATCTTTTCCTTTGTGCCCTGGAGCATCTGGAGAGCTGCCTCATAAGTCCCTTCTTCCTACTCCCTCCTTAAACATTCTTGCAACAGCTGTAAATCCGACCACAAAAAATCCCGGAGCGTGACCACCAATGGCTATGCTCCCCCCCCTTTCCCTTCCCGGCCTCCAGCGTTGGAAAGCTGCCCAGACAGAGCGTTGTTTGTAACTTACGCTGCTGCGGTGCAGGCCCCAGTCTCCTCCGCTGGCCCCCTGTCTGCATGGTCGCTCCGCCAGTTGCTTCGCTTCTCTCTGTCCAGGAGAGCTGCCCCAGCACCGTCTGTGCAGCAACTCCCCGGCACTGTGGCTGGCTGAGCAGATTACTAGAGCGTTTCCCGGCTGCTTTTTTGCCCAGCTCTCCCCGTGGTCTCCCCGGCCGCACTAGCGCTGGAGAATTAGTGCTGCTGCTTGAGCGGGTGGGCGGCTGCCAGCAGAGCACCGCCTGGTACTTCAACTCTTGTGCAGCTCAAAGGACCGAGCACTTTCGCAACTTCCCAGCTTGAGAAACACTGGAGGGCTTAGACGTGCTGCTGTGAGTGATTGCTGCCCCAGGCAATCCAGGCCCACGCTTCACAGTCCCAGCCCAGAGTGACGGAGTCTCAGACGGGGGCCTGGAACAAGACCTCTAGACATGACGGCCACACCTCGCCTCTTTGGTCCTGCAGCATACAACTCCCCCCACCTCCTACCCTATGCGTGGACCTGGCGCGCGGTCATCCAGCACCCACCACCCTCCCATGCACTGGGGCAACGTGAGTCTCGCTTGCTACTTACTCCCGTTATGGTCACGGCCCGCATGCAGCACCGATAGATATAAATATCAAATGCTCTTGCTGGACGGCTGCAATGGGAGGCTGCTTTAGGGTTAGGAGCCACTGCGATAATACACCGTAACCAGAGAGAGACAAAACCGGCAGCTCCCTGAAGTTGAGAGACCCCATTCTCCCAGCTTGATCCCGCATGTCATTGCAGAGCCCCGTGGCATAGAGATGGTGGGATCCTTGTGTAGAGGCTGTCATGGATCCATAAGTCATGCTAGACCTCTGACCTTTATACAGCATCTCTGACAATGTATCCCTTCCGTGCCAGGGCCTAAGCCTTCACTTTTTGCACAGCTCCCGACTTCTCTGAGCCTGGACCTCTGGCTATAGCATTTCGGTTTCTCGCTGTGTTTCCAAAAAAGCCCATGAACTCCCCCGCAGGAGACTTACTTCTCTTGGGAACCCTACAAGCAGCCGACGTATTGCAGGGACCCACTGCAGCTTTTGCAAAACAAGCCAGAGCAGGAATACTACGTGGAGGGTCCCTTAGGATACATTGGAAAAGCAAAGCAAGCCCATACTAGCAGCATCGCTGCCTACGCGCCTGCCGCCAAGTTTCCACCAGGGTAGGAATCTGTTTAACCAAGGCTGCTCGTTTCATGCTGCAGTCGTGCAATAGAACAGAATGTTTATTTTTGTTGTTGGTTTGAAACTCCTTTCTGCCTCCAGGTGTCCTGCCGGTTCATTAACCATGTGCCCAAAAGCATGAAAATCCAAACCAAACGTTTCAATTGGGTTGAAACTAAACATTTCAGCCTCTCCCCCGATACAGTTGGTTTGCCCACGTTTCAGTTCACTTGCTCATTTTGGGCCCCCTCTAAACTCTTGCCTCATCTGATTCTTTTTTAAATGGCTACCAAACCAAACAGGCCGGGGGCTCGCCCATTTCTGCATGGAACGTGCAATGGGTTGGTAATCTTGGGAGTTTGTTCAAATAGCTGTAAAATCATTTTAGAAAATGTATCTGCTAGGAATTCGCCCCTTCTGCTTGCTGCGCAGTTTAAACTCGTGGCACCGAGGCAGAGATGAAAGAATCAGTACAAATAAAAATTAGCCAAGTCCTTTACTCAAATCAAAAGTCAAGGGATGTTTCCCTGGCTGGAAATTGAACAGAAACGTAGGACTCCGTCCCAGGACACAATCTCTTGAGGTCCCTTCTATATGATGCTGTTGCAAAAAAAAGCAAACATGATCCTGGGATGCATTAACAGGTGTGTTGTGAGCAAGACACGAGAAGTCATTCTTCTGCTCTACTCTGTGCTGGTTAGGCCTCAGTTGGAGTATTGTGTCCAGTTCTGGGCATCGCATTTCAAGAAGGATGTGGAGAAATTGGAGAGGGTCCAGAGAAGAGCAACAAGAATGATTAAAGGTCTAGAGAAAATGACCTATGAAAGAAGGCTGGAAGAATTGGGTTTGTTTAGTTTAGAAAAGAGAAGATTGAGAGGGGACATGATAGCCGTTTTCAGGTATCTAAAAGGGTGTCATAAGGAGGAGGGGGAAAAATTGTTCATCTTGGCCTCTGAGGATAGAACAAGAAGCAATGGGCTTAAACTGCAGCAAGGGAGGTTTAGGTTGGACATTAGGAAAAAGTTCCTAACTGTCAGGGTGGTCAAACACTGGAATAAATTGCCCAGGGAGGTTGTGGAATCTCCATCTCTGGAGATATTTAAGAGTAGGTTAGATAACTGTCTATCAGGGATGGTCTAGACAGTATTTGGTCCTGCCATGAGGGTAGGGGACTGGACTCGATGACCTCTCGAGGTCCCTTCCAGTCCTAGTATTCTATGATTCTATGAGCCTTAACTTCTATTCATTGTATCAGTGGAAGGTGCAAGATCGCTCCCTAGTGGACAACTATAGGATACTCTGCCCACAGAGGCTATTTCTTCTTAACCCTAACCTAAGTGTCTGAGAAATGCCAGCCCTGCTCCAGGGGAGGCTTCCAGGAAGGCTCTGCCATATGAAACGTATTTCAGCGTTAGAATTTAACCGCTAGGGTTTAACCACTAGGCTTTTTAGAAAGAACTTTCTACATCCCTAATTGAAACCTATGCAGTTTTGCAATCCACAGAAAAGAGGCTATTTCTTCTTAACCCTAACCTAAGTGTCTGAGAAATGCCAGCCCTGCTCCAGGGGAGGCTTCCAGGAAGGCTCTGCCATATGAAACGTATTTCAGCGTTAGAATTTAACCGCTAGGGTTTAACCACTAGGCTTTTTAGAAAGAACTTTCTACATCCCTAATTGAAACCTATGCAGTTTTGCAATCCACAGAAAAGATCATGCCACAGAAATGGCAATTTCCTG